ATTTTGTATAGTCGAGATACTTTGACTATAGACGATATCTATGATACTTTGCACTCAAAGAAGAAGTTAAAGCATATGGTTGTAGTTACATCGAGATATGAGGAAGCTCTTATATCTCATGGTGGTCAACGGAGGGGCAGATTGAAGAATAACAGTAATTTATTTACTTCTACTGCAAACGTAAGGGACATATTCGAAATGATTGTGATAAGTTGCAGGCTAAATTCAATTTAACTGCAAATCGTGGAGCGCAACCTTTGTCTTCAGACGAAACAAATGCAGTTGAGGATTTTTTAGACGACAAAGATGTGATGTTAACCGTGATCTGACATGGAATCTATGCCTAAAAAGGAGTGGATTCTCGATTCGGTATGTTCGCATCATATGTGTTCTAATCAAATTTCTTTCAGACATATGAGACTGTCAAACAAGGTGGAGTTCTGATGGGAAACAACCAGTCTTGGCATGTTGATAGAATCGATCAAGTCAGATTAAGGTTGCTGGATGGGATAGTCAGAACAATTTATCAGGCTCGACATGATTCAGACTTGAAAAGAAATCTCATCTCACTTAATACTCTAGATGCAAAATGGCATAAATTCTCTAGTGGAGGTGAAGATTTGAAGGTCCAAATGAGTGTTTGGGTTGTACTTGAAGGACAGAGAAGGTCTCAGTTGTACATCTTACAGGGGAACGTAGAACCAGTTAATAGACATTTGGACAAGTTCAGTACCGTGGTGGATATTTAGTTTGGTACAATACCTCTTGTGACGGGCCTTGGGTCGGTTTGCTCAGGGGATTTTTGGTGATTCCGCTTTACCACCATTTTCTGCGGATACACTATATTCATTTGCTAGAGTTGGACTTATAGAGCGTAGGTATCATGGTGTCAATAATGTCTGGGATGCTTTTAGAGATGTTGAATGCGACAGTTCTAGCAATAGGCCTTCTGATCCAACATGTGTGATATAGTTTCAACTATAGGGTGTGTTTCGATCCTGTTTGGTCAAAAGTAATTTTTCGGTGAAATTTTGGGAACCCAGGGTTTGGGTTCAGGTGTCGCTTGTGGACGCCTTGTAGAGCAAGACGGTTTGGGTTGGAGAGTTTTGATTACTGTGTTTAGGAGATTCGCTATTTCGATACAGATGGATTTGAAATCTTGGAATTTTGTAGGTTGCACTAGAATTTGGGTCAAAGTGGAGATTGTTGGGTTTGTGACCCAAATTAGTGTGGATTTTTTTTTTGGAAATAAATTGTTTCCTTATATTTTACGTGATTTTTTATGAAAACATATTATTTTCTTATTTCACATTATTTCCATCTTTATGCTATGTCATGTACCTATAAATAGTGGTCTTCTCTTTCAGTTTTGTTCAAGCAAGAATTGTTGAGTTCTTATATTTTTCTCCATATTGTCGAATAATAAAACGTTGTGCTTCTACGATTAACTCTCTCTATTAATTTCTTTACTTTTAAATATTTTTTCTCGTTGCAATCTCCATTATTTCATATCTCGTCATTAATCTCACTCGCTACAATTCTTCTGAGTCTAACACCTGACACTATAGCTTAACTTCTCATAGGTCATGGACCATGTCAAAACTTAAAGCACCATTAGGATAGCTCTGCATAGGGGAGGCATCTACACTTTCTAGCAAGAATGTAATTGCACCAAATTGGAGCCAAGAGAAACTCCAGTAGACCTATACAACCATGGGTAACCATTTAATTGCTCCAATTGAGGTTAGGCGATAGTTTGATGTGATGGAATCGAAGGCCTAGTTTGGTTAATGGCATTTCTGATTTGGGTGGTGGTGGCGATGTCGACGTTGTGTGGGTGGCAGTAGTAGCTGGCTGTTGGATGATGATGCCGACCAACGATACGAGTGGGAGTGGGGAAGAATGTGGAGGGTGAATTTCAATTCTAGGGGTGTCGACCACTGACCTATCTGTTTTTCATGGGAGTGGGTGGGATGGGGTTGGGGTTGGGGTTGGGGTTGGGGTAGGGGTAGGGATAGATTTCTTTTTTCTTTTTCTTTTTTAGTTTTATTATTTTACCCTTTTTAATTTCTTGAAAAAAAGTGAAGTTTCACTTTTCTGATCAATTAACAGTCTATTTGGACCTTTACTTCTAATTTTTTAAAAGTTAGGAATGTTCGCTAGCTTATATTGAAGGTTAGAGTTAAATCTTCAAAAAAAAAAGTAAAATATTAGGGTCCGCTATTGCAATTTCCCTAATATTTACTCATTTTGCTATTATTTGATTCCCATTATTTTCAAATTCTATTCTTTTTAGTCAAACATTCTTCAACAAAATAACATTGCACAGGAATTCAAAAATTTTCCATATTTTGTATTACATATTTTTTCATCAATTTACTATCTCAAAATACATCCTTACGATGAAGGTGGGGGCTCAGACAAGCTTTTTATATGTATCCCATCTATTTGTGCGCGCACAATTGACCAGTCCACTGAATGTATCATTTCTACCCATTTTGGATGGTGCGTTGCAAATTAAATGGGTTGATAATAGCCTCGTTGACTTTGTTCGTCGAATTTTTTCTTGTTTCAATTGGTCATTGAATTCCTTTATTACATATATATTTTTATATTTTTGCGCTATGAAAACTGAAAAAGTAACAGCACGAATAGTTCGACAAGATGTAGTTGTTCATCTAATCTAAGAAATAAAAAATGATGCACTGACGAATTTTCCGTACATTGTAATTTTTTTTAGTCACATTTTTTTAAAAGACAAATGTAGACAGGCAACCTAATGAATTGAGACAAATGGAAAGTTAGCCTGAATAATGTAAAACAAAAAAAAAAAAATCCCCTGTTAATAAAAAAATGAGGTTATAAATTATAATTAGGGTGATTATCAATGTTTTTAATCACGAATTATTATTATTTTAAGGAAAATTTGAAGTGGAGGTTCCAAACTTTTCGAAAAAGAATAGCTCGATCTGAAATGCCTCGATCTTTCAAAAATGTGTGATGGAAGGATTTTTGCATGGTACAAAAATGAAAATTAAAAATACAGATAGAGACGCTTGAAAATGTCATTTCTTATGAAATAAGACACGAAATGCTATTCACAGTTTTAATAAGTAAATAAAATTTTGTTCTTATTTGTCATCCTTTAACAAATTAAATTGTTTATTACAGTAACATTTTTTACCACACACTTCGTTATAATAAAATATTCTATACACAAACCAATAAAGTTTATTTAAATTTTAACCACACATTCTTCAAAAATACTATTCAAAATTTTATAATTTCTCTCATTAATAGGAGACAGACGGGCTCTTTTTTGTGAAAAAAATAAATGGAGACGTCACTTTTAGATAAAAAGAAAGGGTTAGAATATAAAAGAGAAATATAAAGGAAGAAAAAAATCCATTCTTGTAGAACCTGTGATTACGCACTAATTATTACATTGCTCGTGTGATTTACCAAAAGGGAACTTTAAGGGAAGTGGTTTTATGAAATTAACGAATTCTTTAATTGGTCTTATGCGGGATATGAAATGAAATTGAAAGTCAAAGTCGTGTAATATTTGTTATAAACGGCGTGAATTATAAATAGATATGAATAAGTAATGAATAAGTCTACTACGGGATCTCATATTTTAAAAACGTTGCAATATTGCCTCATTCTCAACTTTCCCAAAAATCTCTTTCTCCACGTAAAGTTGTAAACCACTTAATTATCATTCAACCAATTATCTCTCATTTTGTTGCACAGGTCACTCTTGATTAAATTCATAACAGAGAATACCCTTTCATCACTTACAGTTGCCACAAGTAATATCAAAATCAAGGTGAGCAGCCTATAACCCAATGGAGAAGAACAAGAGCTTTTTGTTTCAACCAACTTCTGAGCTACACAAAATATGGTGTTGATGTTAAAGAAAGCTTCACCCACTCTTACAAGTATAAAAACTTGTTAAATTGAGGTCTAAGTAATAAAAAGTTCTTCACTGTTGAAGTCCCAAGAATAGAACTGAGCAAGATGTAGCAATTTATCCTTATCAAAAGTTGCAAAATGAATCTCTTGGACTTAAACACAAAATTTAAGTAAGGAGCTCAGTAGTTATCTCTGGAAAATGATCATTTAACTCTGCAAGATTAATTCTATTACATGATAATACAAATCAACATAAAAGCAATGATAATAAGTCATTAGCTGAGCTGCACGCCTAGGTCAACCTCTCAATACTACAATATCCTCCATATTCGCCACTAAAATATGCCCACCAACACAAAACTCAATCACCATACTCAACAAATTATCACAACCGTTGTTTCTCACGTTCTACAATGCATACTTACACAAATTCAATAACCTCATAGCATTCTAAATATCCCGATACTTTTTTTGTAAAGCTTGTGAAAGATCTTTTGTAATTGCAAGAATTTCAAACATAATGTGGAGACTGAACGCAAACTCAAAATCTTGTATAATGCTCATCTATCTCATGTCCATTGATTTCTGATCTGAATTTATGTCATCTTCTTATATACTCCCAAGAAAATCTATGATAATATTAAACATATTAATAACATGAGTAATTGTCAATAGATGTAAGCCCTATGTAGTATCAACTGGGTGGGCCAAACTCTACTTTTAATTCATCAAGTTGGTAAACTTTGCAAAAACTTCGTTATGAGCACTATCAAAGAGACCAACATAATCTTTCAATGTCTTTTTGTGCTTCCAATACCTAAAACCAGGTTTAGTGAATATATGTCCATCCCCTTGACCCCTCCTCTATGAGGTTTGAACAAATAGCAATGCAAATAATAAGTCACATCCTTTTCTATATACAGAACTCCAACCAATAATGTTATTATCTCGACTAAAAATGTAGGGTCACATTAAAGTTTTGATTGGAAGGCCAGTACTGTTTTCAATATGTTTGAGCCCATTTTTAACCTCATAATCCTGTAATCCTCTACAGACTGGACATTTAAGAAAAGAAGAACGGTACTTGTGGTCCTCTTCATATTCTTGCTCACTTTCTCACTATCCTCAACTCAAGTTTCATTTTCTTTATTTTCTCCCACTTGTCCATACACCTTTATCCTAATTTCTTGTTTCTAGAGAAATGGAAACAAGCAAAGCAGAAGGAAAGAGGATTGCAAAGGTAGCCATGTTGGCAGAGGAAGAGGAAGGTGGGAAAGATGAAGACGTTAAAAATAAGAAGAGAGCATCGACTCTTACCTCAATAAGGGTGTCAAGTGCTGGAGGATCCACACAGCCTTATTGTCAGGTACAAGACTGTCCTGTGGATATGACCGGTGCCAAGCCATACCATCGCCGGCACAAAGTCTGTGAGTTTCACGCCAAGGCACCTGAAATTCTTGTTGCTGGGCTTCAACAACGTTTCTGCCAGCAGTGCAGCAGGTTCAATTATTAAAAAACTTGCAAGTAACTTGAGTACTTTTTATTTGTTTCTGCTTACTTGTTTGGATATTCAGACAGGCCTAGAGCTCCTAAATTTTGGTTAATAGACACAACTACTAACTGATCATTTAACTGAAAGACGGCAAATAAGCCAGTGAAGTATTTTGTGCAATACAGTAACAGAAATTTAGCTAACACTACATATAAACTTACCGTAAACATAGAATAACTAATAAATTAATCGACTAAAGAAGAAGCAGCGGGAATCATTTGCTATAAAAGAAGAATATTTTGAAGAAGGCCTTGTAAATGACAGTAGTTGTACAAGATTATCAGTTCATAAATGAACATTTTTGCAATATTATGAATCCCATAAATGATATATAACCTACTTGAAATATAGATCCGAGGCTAATTAATTACTCTAAAGTCAGAGCAGAGTATAACAATAGTCCCAAACCGAATGTATAATAACAAAATGAGGAGGTTCTCATGGAGAGATTAATATATAGTGCAAGTCACTGTAATGGATAACAAGTAAACAGAATTTAAATGGACAAAGATTCAAGTTCATAAATTACAAACAGGCATGTAAATGAACACCCTCAGATTCAAAATCCCAAAATAAACTCAACCTACATACGAATTTTATGAAACACTATTAAGACGTGTGACGGGTTATCATATGATTCATATAAATAAAAATGGTTCTAATATTCTCAAACAAACTGATTCTGCTGTTCTAAATTTCTTTTTATTTGTAATATAACTGTTTCCAATTGCTACAATACTCAATCACCTGGGCCAACATAAGCATAAAAAAGCAAAAAAAAAAAATGCTTCATTTGTGTGGTTACCGTATTGCATTCCCCAGGTTTCATGAAGTATCAGAATTTGATGGGGCTAAAAGAAGTTGCCGCGGGCGCTTGGCGAAGCACAACGAGCGACGCCGCAAAGGCTCGAATGATTCTCTTTGAGAAAGGGCACGTTGAGATGATATAAAATTAATCACCAAGAAATGGTGAAATTAAGGGAATTCTCATAGAAACGCATATGGAATGCTCTCTCTCTTCTGTCAATTGCTGGATTTTTCACATCAACTGTTGCAGTTTATCGATCAATCAATAAAGGGCGCTTTTGGAGTTAACTTCAAAATTTGTTTATATGTGCATGGACGTGTACAATTTATTTTCCAATTACATTATTATTTGACAATCATACTTTTCAAAAAAAAAAAAAAAAGAGTTTGAGTAGTGATATTTAGGAAAATGTGTGACTAAAAAATAAGAAAAATTTGAAATTTACGTGCGCAATACGTTGTTGTGTGACTATATAATTAAAAATGAGTATATAAAAAAAAAGAGTTCGAACGGCATGATTGTCAAACGGGGGGCTTCAGTAATGACTTGTCAAACATTGTTACTTGTTTAGCATGTGCAAAAGGATGGAGGGGTCCTTTTTGTGCCCCCCTCCATTTTGGGACCAATATAGGGCTACTCTAAGAATAATTGGAATGTGTGGTTGAAAAATTATGAGTCTCATAAAATTAAGCTCTTGTTCGGTGGAATTTAAAAAATATGGTTTTGAATAATATTTTTAGGAGAATGTGTGGTTAAAAAGTAAGTAATTTTTTTTAATATAAATGTAAAATATTTTATTGTATGAATATGTGATTGAAAATAAATATAAGAAGTAAATTAAAATAAGGTAAAGTGAATTTAGTCCCCCAACGTAATTTTTTAATTGTGTCATGTTTCAATTTCACTATAATTTATTGTTTTGACTAGCTTATGTAAAACGCATCGAAGTCAAAACTCTCAATGCAAAATTGTCATGGTGGTTGGGAGTTTGAATTTGAATGAAGTTTTGCTTAGTATTTATTTTTGTATAATTTCAAAATTTACAATGAATAAAAAGGTATCATAACTTATATAGTGATATTTACTTCTTGAACACATAAATCGATTCTAAGTAAACATAGGGATATAAATTTGGCTCGTTGGCTCAAGCAGTTGATGGCTCGATCTAAAAAAAGTCCTAGCTGACTTGGCTTGCCTCTTGGACCAAGCCTCATTTTGGGCAATGGCTTGAGTCAGAGCCAACCAAAATGGCCTGTGTCACAGGCCGTTTCAGCCTCTGACGGTGATATGCTGCTAGCTTTTTGCAGGCAGCTACAACTGCTTGCAGTCAGCTCAACATTTGTAGCTACTTGTTAAAAAAAATTGAATTTTACGATCTAAAGATAAAAATTGAGCTGGCCAATCCTCGATTTTTTTACTTAGCTTTAGCTCGATTTGGGCCAAAAATGTTCGAGTCACGACCTTCGACTCACAAATCGACTTAACTTATTTACATCCCTATGTAAATACTACTTGTATTTAGTCCCCGTTTGGCCTCCGTTTTTAAAAATTCCTTTTTTTGAAACTCGCTTTTAATCAAACATTTTTAACAATTTTTGTAAAAATTTGCCAAAATTTTGATTTTTAGTAAAACAAAACATGGGCTAAACAATAATTAGGAAAAATTACCATAGTAGTTCCTAACTTTTCATTTTTTTTGTAAACTTTACCCTAACCTTCAATTTGTGCAAGCAGAGATCCCAAACTTTTAAGAAATTAGCAGGTGAGGTCCAAATGGATGGAAAAATAAATCATTTGACTGTTAGTTGACTAGAAAAATTAGTCTTATCTAAATATAAGAAAGGAAAAATGGTAACTATACAAATTTAACATAAAATAATTAGAGTCATCATATTTAACGTCCAACCAAAACCAAAATCATAGTCACCGTCTTCAATCGTCGGCAACCATCGACACTAGTACTCCACCCACCCACCCAGCATCGCCACCACCGCAAACCACCATCACTGCTATCCCCTCTCCCAACCAAGAATCAAACTAACGCAATAAAATTATTTGTCGCTTTGCCATCGCTAGAAATAATAAAACCCATGCACTATCACCATTATTCCTCAACAACTTGGACCTCTTATTTTTCATCATCGTCTTTTTTTGAATCACGATTTTATTGATCTATTTATGCAAACTGGAGTCCTAATTCTTGATGGAAATACATTTTGTATTTGTTGGAGGTACAGAGTATTACTATTTTATAAAGGGAATGAACATTCCCATTAATGGGGGCCAGAATTGCCACCTCATCCCCTGTTCCCATTAAATCTCATATATCTTTCAATATATGAGGATTGAAAACGTGATGGAAAGAGTCAAGGATTTAGATTGAAAACGTTTCTCATCTTTCCTAATCAGTTGTCACTCTATGAGGATTTGAAATGTGATGGTGTCACTCTACGAGGATTGACAACATGATGGAAAGAGTCAAGAATTTGGATACTGAAGATGATAATTCCAAGGATGCAAGTCTGGATGCTAGAATTCCACTACCATAGGTGTTGCTGTAGCCAGTGTGCAATGGTTTTGGTGGTAAGACAGTGGTTCCGAGAAGAAGATTTAACTGGTAGATCATCCCAATTCTTAATCAACAATGTCTCGTGTTGGGTTTGTGATCCAAATTATGGTGAATTTTTTTGGAAATAAATTATTTCCTTATTTTCATGTGGGAAAATTTGTTTCATTATATTTCACGTGATTTTGTATGAAAACATATTATTTTCTTATTCCACATTATTTTCATCTTTATGATATGCTATGTACCTATAAATATTGGTCTTCTCATTTAGCATTGTTCAAGTAAGAATTACTGAGTTCTTGAATTTCTCTTCATATTGTAAATTAATAAAACGTCGTGCTTTTGTGATTAGCTCTCTTTATTAATTTCTTTATTTTTAAATCTTGTTTCTCGTTGTGATCTTCATTACTTCATATCACGTTATTAATTTCTTTCACTACAATCCTTCCGGATCCAACAAGTGGTATTAGAGTTTGGTTCTTCTTCAGAGGATTTGTTGAGGTTTTTTAAGAGATGACTACCATGAAGTATGACATTCCGCTGCTAAATCGCAATACAAGGTTTTTTTGTGGCAAGTAAAGATGAGAGCTATTTTGGCGTGATTGGATTTAGATGATGTGTTGCTAGATTTTGAGAAGATCCCACCTAATTGGACAACGGAGGAGAAACAACGGAGGGATCAGAAGGCTTTGTCGTTGATTTATCTTAATCTATCCAACAATATTCTGCAGGATGCCTTGAAGGAGAAAACAACAACTGCTTTATAGTTGAAACTGGAGTAGTTATGTATGACCAAGAGTCTTACAAGTAAACTGGCTATAAAGCAAAAGCTATATTCTCATCGCATGGTAGAAGGAGGGTCATTCGAAGACCATATTGCCGTGTTCAAGGAAATTATTGCAGATTTGGAGATGTTGGAGGTTAAGTACGATGAAGAGGATCTTACCTTGATCCTGTTATATTCACTACTTGGCTCTTATGCATCGTTTCGGGACATCATTTTGTATAATTGAAATACTTTAACTATAGACGATATCTATGATACTTTGCACTCAAAGAAGAAGTTGAAGCATTTGGTTGTAGCTACATCGAGATATGAGGAAGCTCTTATATCTCATGATGGTCGGCGGAGGGGCAGATTGAAGAATAACAGTAATTTATTTACTTCTACTGCAAACGTAAGGGACATATTTGAAATGATTGTGATAAGTTGCAGGCTAAATTCAATTTAACTGCAAATCGTGGAGCGCAACCTTTGTCTTCAGACGAAACAAATGCAGTTGAGGATTTTTTAGACGACAAAGATGTGATGTTAACCGTGATCTGACATGGAATCTATGCCTAAAAAGGAGTGGATTCTCGATTCGGTATGTTCGCATCATATGTGTTCTAATCAAATTTCTTTCAGACATATGAGACTGTCAAACAAGGTGGAGTTCTGGTGGGAAACAACCAGTCTTGGCATGTTGATAGAATCGATTGAGTCAGATTAAGGTTGTTGGATGGGATAGTCAGAACAATTTATCAGGCTCGACATGATTCAGACTTGAAAAGAAATCTCATCTCACTTAATACTCTAGATGCAAAATGGCATAAATTCTCTAGTGGAGGTGAAGATTTGAAGGTCCAAATGAGTGTTTGGGTTGTACTTGAAGGACAGAGAAGGTCTCAGTTGTACATCTTACAGGGGAACGTAGAACCAGTTAATAGACATTTGGACAAGTTCAGTACCGTGGTGGATATTTAGTTTGGTACAATACCTCTTGTGACGGGCCTTGGGTCGGTTTGCTCAGGGGATTTTTGGTGATTCCGCTTTACCACCATTTTCTGCGGATACACTATATTCATTTGCTAGAGTTGGACTTATAGAGCGTAGGTATCATGGTGTCAATAATGTCTGGGATGCTTTTAGAGATGTTGAATGCGACAGTTCTAGCAATAGGCCTTCTGATCCAACATGTGTGATATAGTTTCAACTATAGGGTGTGTTTCGATCCTGTTTGGTCAAAAGTAATTTTTCGGTGAAATTTTGGGAACCCAGGGTTTGGGTTCAGGTGTCGCTTGTGGACGCCTTGTAGAGCAAGACGGTTTGGGTTGGAGAGTTTTGATTACTGTGTTTAGGAGATTCGCTATTTCGATACAGATGGATTTGAAATCTTGGAATTTTGTAGGTTGCACTAGAATTTGGGTCAAAGTGGAGATTGTTGGGTTTGTGACCCAAATTAGTGTGGATTTTTTTTTTGAAATAAATTGTTTCCTTATTTTCATGTGGCAAATTTGTTTCCTTATATTTCACGTAATTTTTATGGAAATATATATTATTTCCTTATTTCACATTATTTCAATTTTTATGCTATGCCATGTACTTATAAATAGTGATAATCTCTTTCAGTTATGTTTAAACAAGAATCGTTGAGTTCTTGTATTTCTCTCCATATTGTCAATTAATAAAATATCGTGCCTCTGCGATTAATGCTCTTTGTTAATTTCTTTACTTGTAAATCTTGTTTCTTGTTGCAATCTTCGTAACTTTATATCACGTCGTTAATCTTATTCTCTACAATCCTTCCGGGCCCTACAAGCAAAGCATTACAAAACGAACAAGTATTACAAAACCGTACTACATAAGTTTTCGTGAAAGAGTAAACAGGCAAAGCATTACAAATACTACATAAGTAACGTTTTATTCCATTTATATTTTGTGCTATGCTTTCTATTTGAAATTACGTAAATATTGTAATCTCCTAAGCCCGAACAAATAGCACACAATTTTGATAAAAAAAAAAAGAATCGAAAAAAGTATAAATGAATAGTTTTTAGAGCATGTCTAACATTGCTTATGCAATCTTTTCACGAGTTAAGAGCATTAATTATAATATTGGTAAAATAAGGTTAGAAATCTATACCTCCTCTCCGAGTCCATGTATAGACTTAAAATTCATGCCTAAACTCTAGCAATATTTTTGCCAGAAAAGAAAAAATAGAATTAACTCCAACAACGATATCAATCTTTAACTTTTGTTTCCGACCCTAGATTGAAAGATAAAATTGAGAATAGATATAATACAATTATAATATGTAACAAGACAAGAGCATTTAAAATCTTGGAGGTATTGCCTAGTCTTCTTTTAAGCTACTCCCATAATTGATAATAATATTCTTAGTAACATTCCATCTTCTGTACCCAATACACTAATATTTTAACTTAATGTAAATTCATTATATGTAAAATTAAACAATATAGAATTTCAAAAATTCCATAATTTATTTATTCTATTTATTACTCTTAATCAAGATGAGTTACATCATTAATTATCTTAATTTGATAAAACCCAAGTCACACATTTTTAGACACTAGTCTAACTCGACAAACAATTAGATAATTAGTTTCAGTGGTCTTTGATAAAAAGTCAACATAAAAAAAAAATAATAATAATAATTTATGCCAATGGAATAAAATTAATAAAAATTTGATTATTAGAAAAGTAAACGAAAAAAATTCAGAGCCAATAGTACTAAAGATTCACCCACCTTGACACAATCAAACACTCTTAAATTATGTGCGTCATTAAATTCATCCAGCCAAGATTTTTATCTTGTTCTATTCTTCTTTTTGCCTTGCTAGCTGACTACATAGTGAATTGTGCCCAATTCTAGTTGTATTATTGAAGCTAAGAAAGTGAATTCTTGGGA